TTTAACGGCTTCTCCCGGTAATGATGGCCTTAAGAAGGTGTTTCATAAAAGGACAGACCTTTACATAGATATTTACAGGATTTTTTTAAGCTGATGATACTTAAGAAAAGCAATTATTTTTTGTAATTTGTTATTTTATACTCTGAGAGGCTCTGATAGGCTGACATTATGGTTTTTTATGCAGCCATAAGACAGCTTTTTCTTAATAGCCTCAAAACATGTAATTGTGTTGGATAATCACATTGTGTGGTATTGTAAGGCCCATGATGGCGATAGCTGAATACCCAGTCCAGCATAACTCTGCTGAGCACAATGTTTGAATAACGATGTATTAAATGAATATTTCACACAGTAAAGTTTTCTGCAATCATTAATGTCATTAACAATTCTGTATTTTACTCCTGGAAGACTTTCTGTAGCTGTTTTAAAAAGGCAGTCACCATGGAATTTGACTAAAGGTTTTCTCAAGTCACAAACGTCATGCTAAAATACACTCTTGTCTTATGTATACACATATATAACACAGCATGCTCGTTACTTTACAATGCTGGATACTGGCACATTAGGTGAAGACATGCCTCTCAAACTCTTTTTTGTCACTTGCTCATAATCGCTGTAAATATTCCAAGTTTAGCCTCTACAGCTGAGCTCGCTGTGTACAGGCCATCGCATCCCTGCCCTGGTGACTCCCCCCATGTCTCAGGGGCTCCTGGCGACAGCAGAAGGCAGCACTGATGGGACTATGCAGGCTCAAAATTGAGAGCAGGATAAAGTGGATTGATCTTTAAAGGACCTTTTACGATAGGTTTCACAAACTTGCTGGATGAATTTTCCAGCAAGTTCTGCTTATGGGTCTGTTTCCTACTCTTGCACCTCTCCTCTGTGCAGCTCCAGGGGGGAGCACGCATCTCGGGGTGCCAGGCAAACGCCTCCAGGCCCCCAGTTTGGATAATGTCCATTTTTTAAGCCTGGGACTGACTGGGTAAGGAAACACCTGGGCCCAAAAAGAGCCTTTTGCAAACTCATGTCTAGTTTGTAGTAATAAATACTGATAGCTCGGATCGAGGCTACTGAAAGGCATTTCAGACAATTTAGTACCTGCCTTCTCCCCCAGTTTAGGATGCTCCTTTCAATCCCCTGGCATTTCCCCTACCCACTACCTTTCCCTCAGTATACAAACCTTAAGTGGCAGCAGTTGCTAAGGCTACAAGAGGCTGCAGTAAATCTGTGTGCATATATGGGGAGGGCTGGATAAAGGAAGAGGATGAGAGCAGAAAATTGCTTGTTTCGAGTCACCGGAGAAGCAGCCACGGAGAGAGGTGGGAGTGGATGCAGGGCTAGACAAGGTGCAAGTCTACAACTATTTTCACATCAGCACTTCAGCCTGTAACTTTTAACCCCAGTGTGTATACATGTGCAGGTGTTTGCACCTGTGTGCCCATTTGCTCAGGAAACCAACACCGTCAGCAGAAAAAAATAACAGTTTTTTTTCTCACAGAAGCAGTCCTTAGTGAATAAGTAATTGCGACTCATCAATGGCATAAGAGATTATTAAAATCTTAAAAACCAAAACACTATTTTTAGAACAATTCTTGCATTTCTGCAGCAGTGGTTGAGGAAAAGCAAATCACAGCCTTGATTTCGCTTCCAGAAGATTTCAGAGAGCCCACATCTTTTCTGCAAAATACCAAAGAGTCTGTTGTCTCTGAAATACGTCTGTGTGCAGTGAAGCACACCGTTTTCTCTAGCCTCATATGTTTTTTTGGCTCCCTTTCCCTTGGGTACAATAACTGTGCGAGATTGTGGTGATCAGACACACAGTTGTCACATATGGACCAAAATGCAGAAAGTAAAACACTGCGAGATTAGCATCTCCCCAGAGAAGGAGCAGAGGCAGGGTCTGAATGCAAAACCGACGTGAGGGAGAGCATCCCCCTGCCCAGAATCTTTTTGCAGAGATACCGGCAGTGGGTTATTAAAGTCAACTAACAGGATGCAAAGTCCAGAGCAGCGGCACCTTATTATCAAGCCACAAGCATAAAAATATGCCAAGAGATGGTCCTGATTAGCTGGGTTAAATGCTTGTTCCATCTCTGCTGAGCAAAATACCAGATTAGCTTCTGTAGAAGAAGAGATGCCTCGTGAGATTTTGACACTCAAAACAGGTTTCCTTGGTTATTAGTTAATAAACCTCAAGCAGCTTCTCCTTTATACTCATCTAAAAGCAAGAGGGAGAACCAGATCACATAATGGCCTGAAAGCATGGATGCATTTTATTTTCGTGTAGAAGATAGCGCCTCAGTGTTTAGTTAATACTGCCTCCAATACAAACACACAGCGCGCACTGCAACCGATGGGAGTGCTGGGAATAGCTCTGAGGGCAGCGTTTGGCCTTTACTCCTCTATACTCCGTCTAGCGCGGGCAGCATCCCCTGATCTGTGCCGACAGGCGAGGGATCTGCGCCGCTCCGGAGCAGCTGAGGCAGGCCGAGAAGGAGCAAAGCATTATTGCGCAGGGGCAAGTGATTGCCTCTGCAGCGGCTGGCTGAAACCACCCGGACAGTGGCTGAACACAGGAAAAATCAAAGGGGAATGCTTCACTTTTTGGGGACGCCCAAGAGTCGTGTCCTGCCTCACGCTGAAGCGACTGGCACATTCATTGCTCCCTTGTTCACTAGGGATCTACTCCTTCTTCCAGGCATTTCTGTTGGCTGGAGCAGCATGTATTCCCTCTCCAAGGCTAGCCAGATTTATATTACTTTATTTCTGTAATAGCATCTAGGAGCTCTAGGCTCCCAGTTTCTTGCAGCTACTCTCTTCTTGGGTCATTACCTCCTAAAGCATGACCAATTTGGGGGCAGATGGCTTGAAAGGGTCCTGGAGGCCTATTCACTACTGTCAGAGCAGGGCAAACCTTGTCCTCTGGGTACCCTTCCTCCAGAAACAGCCTCCCACAGACAGGAGCTCTGCAGAATGTCCATTTATTAACGAAGAGGCCAATAGTCCGTGCAGCCACCCTACTTACACACAGTCCTTAGCTGGTGGGCAGAACAGGCAAGATTGGAGAGGAGTCAAACCATGATCTGTAACGGACCTCTAAACCAGGCTGCACAGGACATGGCTTGGTCTTTTATC